AGGTTATCATTGCGTTTCTGTGGGCTACTGTTTCTCTGGAAAACTTTTCTTTCTCTTCAGACCCTATTACCTTTAGTCCATAGCCTTCTACCACATCACTTCACCTGCTTTCTCCCTTTCACTGCTTGCCTGTGCCTCACAGAGGTGGAACAGGTTGTGGTTTGTGGGAGAGGAGCAGATGGGGGGTAAGTTGGTTTGTCAGGTGAGTTACATGGTGACAGCTGCCAAGTAAAGGAGTATGGCATGGGAATGGGGACAGCAAACTGGGTCAGGGATCCAGGGAACTACTCGGAGCATTGCCATGACCCTCAGCATTGCCTGACCCTCTCCTGCATCAGTGAGTTTGTCCTTAATCCATGGACATGAAGTTGATTCGGGCTCAGGTCCGCAGTCACCGTGGAACTGCATACCTCACCTTCTCTGGCATCTCTCCCATCCTGCTTCTTAAAACAGAAGAGCTGCTCTCAAAATTCTTTTAATGACTTTTTTGAGGCCATGGGTTTAAACAAAAGGATAAAGGTTAGATTTTTTAGCATGGCATTCACTTCTCTGCAAAGCATGTGCTGTGTATTTTCTAGACCCTTAGTCAGTATTTTTAATACAGCCAGAGTCGTAATTTTTTGGGGTTCCTGGTTCATGTATCTTATAAAAATCCAAATGTAGCCTTCCAGGGAGTGTGTACTTTTGTGTTAATATTTGACATCTGCAGGGAGACAAACTTACCAAGAATTTATTACCAGAGAGAAACAATTATTTTTCTTGAATACCTAGGCAAATACTGATTTATTTTTCACTTTTCAGACCATGGTTTGATGGTGAGGTAGAGTAAAAAACAGGTACTAGTGAGTTGCATATCCTGATGTGCAGCAACGGGCTACGTGAAAAAGAGTGGTCAATGAGGAGAAGCAGGTCAGGTCACCACAGTGTTACCCACCTAGTGCAGTGCTCATACTTGAGGACGGTGACAGCAGAGAATTCAGAGATCCCTGTGAAAGCTGAGGCAGGAGGAGAGGCAAGCAGGAAGAATCTCTTTCCAGTTGCTTAGCTCCCCCCTAAGCAACTTGTTTACATCTGTCTTTGCATTTGCTCTTTTTTTGAGAAACAGAACCAAAGCCTCAATAGAGGCTGTGTAAAGGGAAAATGGGTCTGCAAAGAGCCTTCAGGGCTTCTGTAGAGAAACTTTCTCCACCTCTACCTAATGTTTACAAGAAAAAGGCAGGCCTCGATCCTGATCTGGCTTAGAAGGGCAAGGAGCAACCAGGTCTGCATCTGTAAGAGCTCCCCATTAATTCTCACTGGGTTTTTGTCCCTCTTTAACCCAAACAGAATGGGCACGAGAAACAAGACTGTGACTTTGTGGCAGAGGTGGCCACACCTTGTGGCTGTTTCCTTGAACTTAGCTTCAGCTGGGTTGTCAATTCCCTTCCATTCAGGAATGCAAACATGGCCTCACGAAAGCCACTTGGGCTCCCCCATGTTCAGCCTCAGGCTCACAAACAACACAGCCTGAGGTGGGAACTCAGAAAGGAAAGCGGGAAATAAAGGTATCTCCAGTTTGTCTCCAGGAGGGCTTATTGTGTACTGCCTGGTTTCACAATGGGGCAACACCAAGTCTGAGCACGAAGCAGAAGATGAACCTTAGTTCTGCACACTCATACCCACTCAGTGTGTATTTATATTTTTATATATGTGCATATATAGATATATGTATGTATACATTTGTTGCCTGGTCTGATGAGGCAGAAGCAATGTGAAATACCTCGTTTTCAGGAGGACCGGGAACTTGAGTAGGGTGCGATCTTGGTTGCCTGAGAAAAGAGGGGGAAAGCAGGAAGAATCTCCTTTCCCTTACCCGGGACTTTGGTTTTTTTCACATGTACAATTTGTACTAGAAGCTGGTTTGGTAGAGCAGCAATGCTGAAACCTTTTACAGAAGCAGGTAGTTGGATTATGCTCACAGTTTAGGTCTATCTGTGTGCAGAGGAAACGTATATTTATGTGATAACCATGATTTCTCTCTGCAAAAAATAATAATTGCTGTGTCCAAAGGGGGTGAAAGCTTCTTTGTGTTTATTATTACTGCTAGGATTTTGTAGTTTCAACTGTGTTTGCTAATAAGTGCTGTATTTGGGAAAAGCAAAGGGAGGGTTGGGAATATAATTGCAGCCAAAAGTTCTTTCTGGGCACAGGTTGCCTGCGCGTGTCATTCTTGAACTGAGTGATCTTTTCTCAGGAGGAAGAGACCCAAAAGGGTCATGGGGTTTTTCGAGGGGGAGAGAGGAAATGAGAAACACTTTCCCTCCTTTGGAGAAAGGTAAAAGCAGGATATACCAGGATCCTGTCAAATCCTATTTATTGGCACTGAGCCTTTTCAAAGCTGGGAACAAATCTGCACCAAAAATCCCAACACTAGTACATGCAGGAAGAAAACTGCTGAGGAGAGGAGGAGAAGAAAAAAGGCAGATTTAGCTCCTAGAACCGACTGACACGAGCCAGATTTGGGAACCTAGATCCCTAACTGAGGTATTTACATAGGAAATAAATATGGCTATGCACATCTTGTGCATCATAAATTACAGCTTCTGACCCTAAAGAACTATGAAAATCCAGACCCCGTTAGTGATTAGCCAAGCCTGTTCAGTTTTGAGCCCTCATAGGGCTGCAGCAGAGAGCAAATGTGACTGCTCTTCACGAAAGCCGTTCATCGTGTATCCCATGCCTGACAGCCTCCAAAAACAGCAGTGACCCTGAATAATGCTTCCAAACCTACATGTATCTGAGGCAGGTTTTGGCCCTTCAGACAGGAAAATGTCAATAGGATAAAAGCAGCCTGTCCTAAAAAATGCAGTTCAGCAATGCTTAAAAATGCGTATTTCGGCCTGGCAGATCCTGTCAATTTTTATCTGTAGTGTGTGTCCCCCCGCCTACATAAGAAGGAGAATAAAACAGCTTCCAGAGTCTAGATCAAGCAGTACCATAAAAACACTGGCACTTGATCTCAGTACTCTCCTGAAAACTCCACATACCAAACCACAGGTGGAGCAGTACCTGTTTCTTTTCTGGATCCTGCCCTTTTCACCTTCCTGCAGTGTGTACTCAAAGTGGACAGTACCAGTTCCCCTTCCTCGATCCAGCACTTCCCACCTGAGTGACAGAGCAATTGCAAAAAATCTAAATCCTCCTTGTAAAATCTTGGGGGTTTTTGCCACTTGCATCTCAACACTTTTTAGGTAAAAATGATACTTTGTATGATTGAAGTTGATGGTAATCTCTCTTTGATTTTAGTCAGGACCAGGATTTTGCACACATACATAGCTATGAAATTACTATTTTTTCAACAATCCATCTTTGAAAGTTGGGCGGGGGGTTAATAATATTTGGAGATAAAGGCTGAAAACATTTTGGGACTTCAGAGGTGTCGTGTCCGTCCTTTTAGTGCTCTTGCACCACAGTGAATTGGGGAGCACGCTTGAGTAGTGCAGGTGGTAGTTTCGACACAGTGGAAGTTTGGGAAGAGGCAGATGTGGTACTTCTGCTTTTGCACGGAGGCGCCCGTTTACAAGGCGAGAGGTTTGAAGCAAGAAGGAATACCGATAATGTTGTCTAGCTGGATGTTCCATTTCAGGGCCTAAAATGGAGGTGAATGAAGGAACGAAACATGCGGTTTTCTTGTCGAGATTTGTTGTGGTGGTGGCATTAGTGTGTATGTTATCACGTTCGGATTAAACGTTATTGTGAGCTATTGGGACAGCTTCGTTTTCTTGTTCAGCTGATACAGTTTGGAACGCTCTAAGGTAAAAACAGCCTCTGTGCTGCTGTGACAACTTGCGGAAAGGGACACTTTGCTTATTAGTCAGCCAACGCACGGTGTTTGTGCATGTACGTGCGTTTTATATAGGCGTATGTACGTGCGCCTGTCTGATGGCGGGCAGCGTGCCCTCCTCGGCAGACCCTCGCTGCTTTCCCGCCCCGGTGGCACCGTGGGGCAGCCGTCCCTTCCCCCCGAGGTCACTCGGGATGGCAGCCATCACCTGTGGCAGCCTGGCAGCTCAGAGCCAGGAGTGCCAAACCTTTCGTCTGGTAGCAAGCCAGGCTCTTCCA